GATGAGAATCCACAAGTGGCTCGTTGACCTGCACAGTCCTGAGATTGTTAAGCAGATTACTTCCATTAGTATTGAGCCAGGAGTAGAGGTGGAAGTCACCATTGTGGATGCCTAAGTCAGCTATTTAATAAATTGACTTAACCAGTTTAAAAATAAAAGAGATACACATTGCAGAATTGCTTACAATAGTACCAAAATTAGAACAACCCAGATAGTTTTTACGAATGTTCAAAAAATCATGATCCATTTACATGATGAATTATGTAGCCATAAAAAATGTCTTTGGAAAAGTTTATAATTATGGGAAACATACTATATTTTGAGTGTCAAAAGTAGGCTTATAGAACTGAATAACACTTTATTTTTTTAGTATTTTATTTAATTTTATGTGTATGAGTGTATTGCCTGCATGTTTGTGAGTGCACCCATGTCATGCAATGCTGCAGAGGTCAGAAGAGGGCTTTGTATTCCCCTGGAATTGGAGTTAAGGATGGTTCTTATCCGCCATGTAGGTGCTGGGAATTGAGCCTGGGTCCTCCGTAAGAGCAGTCAGTGCTCTTAACTGCTGAGCCATCTCTCCAGCCCCAGAACTGAATAACACTTTAAAGAGTAGGAGGAAATGTTGAAAATACTCATTTTGGTGATTTATTTTACAAGAGGATTGTGGTGGCTCCTACTGTGGCCGATCTCCCTCTTATTTCCCCCATGTCCAGACCAGACCAGGAATTTATCAAAGCGATTCCAGACGTTTCTCACGATTGGCTGATTTTATTTTCATTTTATAAATTTAGAAACTTGAGATTTTGTGAAAGGCAACACTGTGGGGCTCCTGAGGGCCTTAAGAGTTGCAAAGACTGCCTGGGTGTGGTGGCGCATACCTTTAATCCCAGCACTCAGGAGGCAGAGGCAGGCAGATCTCTGTGAGTTTGAGGCCAGCCTGGTCTACATGGTGAGTTCCAGGACAGCTGGGGCTACAGGGAGACCCTGTCTCAAAAAGACCAAAAAAAAAAAAAAGAGTTGCAAAGACTTCTCCCCTGAATTGGGTTGGACCCCAGGTGAGCAACACCCTGGGGCTTCCATAGGCCTTGAGAATTGCAAGGACTTCTCCCCTGAGAAGTTTGCTCTGAGTCTGGGTCTCCTTTCTCAGTATCTCAGTGGGACCTCCAAATGTTACAGTGTCTAAACTGCTGGGAAGGACCACTCAGACTCCAGGTGTTCCAAATTAGCTGAATTTTATTTAGCTGGCCACTGACTGTACTCTTTGGGTCAGGATTTAGAGAATGCAGCCCTGACTGCTTTTAAAGGAAAAAACTGTATCTTGATAGACAAGGTGACAAGATTTTACAAGAATAATGTGTTCCTGAGGGTATGCAAGCAGATAAGCATTAGGGAAGCAGTTATAAAAGCCATAAAACTTTTAACTGAGATATTTCTGGTTTTTATGGGGATATTTTCTATGGTTAATTTTTCCTAGAACTGCTCTGAAGTTAAACCCTTCCTGGAACTTCTGGCCCAGGCCAGGGCAGGGTCTAAGAGCTCATCAAGATGGTGGTCTTATACTAAATGGAGTAGTTCAGGCTATCACACCTGCAGTTCCAGCTGGCCTGGAACTCGATATGTAGACCAGACTGGCCTTGATCTCATATAGATCTGCCTCTTTCTGCCTCCAAGCCTGGGATTAAAGACATATGCCACATTTCCTGGCCTTGTGTTGTTCTTTTTTCTTTGAAAAAAATTATTTTACTTTAAAAAATTTTTTACGTATTTTGCTTGCATGTATGTAAGTGCATATGGACAGTTGGTAGCCACCAAGTGGGTGCTGGGAACAGCAGTAGTAGTTTCCCCACAAGGTTCTTTGACCTCCTCAGCCATGGACTTCTCTCTAGGTTTACGGTACTCAGGTATGAATTCTCTCCTCTGAATGAGGCCTTCCTTAAATTCAATCAGAAAGTGGTTGGTTACTCCCATAGCTGTCATGCCAGTAGTACATCAGTTAACACTCTTATCACATAGGTACACAGCAGAGTAAGACTGTTGATTTTCCCTCATAGCAGCTGCATAGCACTTTCTAGCACTGTGAAAGCTAGCCAGTAGGGAGGAAGTTTCTGTTTCAGCCAGAGGCTGAGAGAATGGGTAGATAGTGAGAAGGAAATAAGATTATCCCTTCATAGATATTTGCTGCAAAGTATGGCAGAGAAATAGTTGAGAGAAAATTTTCAGTGATATGTTTGCATATTAGTGGTAAAGGACAGTCCAAAGGGATGGCTGATATAGGAGATTAGAAACAGTTGTGGGAGCAGAATTTTTGAGTAAGTAAAACATAATGGATTCCAAGGTAGTAGCAATATGTATGACTTGGTAGGAGTAAATACCATTTGTTGAAAAAGAAAGGAAAGCACATTAAGTGATGGAAAGATTAAGTAGTTCTCTTCTGAACACAGAATAACTAATATTCAGGTTTGCTACGGACTGAGCAGCTTCCAGGATACAGGACTGTTAGTGCTGAGCTTGGGCAAATCCTGGACAAACAAAGATTACTGCTCTATATCTAGTTGTCTGAATGAATGAAAAGGACTGTTTCCTAAAGGAAGTGAGAAAGGAGTGAAGGAGGTTTTTGAGGCTTATTGTGAAAGAGGAAGGTATAATTCTTTGGGTTAAAGTTGAGACACCAAGTTTACTAATGTGGTATGATTTCTCAACATTGGTAGGGATCTGAAATTTCTGGAAGTACTAAAGTTTCTTATTATAATTAAAAATTAAAATTTAGCCAGGTGTGGTGGTGCCTGCCTTTAATCCCAGCACTTGGGAGGCAGAGGCAGGAAGATCTCTGTGAGTTCAAGGCCAGCCTCGTCTACATAATGAGTTCCAGGACAGCTGGGGCTACAGGGAGACCCTGTCTTAAAAAAATAAAAAAAAATGAAAAAAAAAATTTAACCATACACTATTACCGTTTGTTTATTTGTTAATTATATGATGTATATACACGTATATGTGGTGTGTGTGTGTGTGTGTGTGTGTGTGTGTGTGTGTGTGTAGTACAATCTTGGGCATTAGTTCTTACCTTCTACCTTGTATGAGACTGATTTTCTCTGTTGTTCACCCTTGGATGCACAGGCTAGCTGACCTGCAAGTTTTCAGGATTTCTTCTCTCTGTACCTTCCATCTTGTTGTGGCAGTGCTGGACTTACAAATTAAAAATTTAAGTAGAGGGGCCAGAGATTTTTGGCTTGGCAATTTAGAGCACTGGCTGCTCTTGCAGAGGTCTCAGGTTTGGTTCCCAGCACCCACATGGTGGCTAACAATTGTCCATGACTACAGTTTCAGGGAATCCAACACCATCTTCTGGCCTCTGAGGGCATTGCATGACGTGGGTGCACTTATGAACATGCAGGCAAGGTACTCATGTACATAAAATGAATAAAATAATAAATTAAAAAAATTTAAACAGAAAGTCCGGTGTGTAAAACTCTGTGCCCAGCTTTTTAAAAAATTAAAAAAAATATTTTATTTATTTTTATGTGTATGAGTATATTGCCTGCATGTAGGTAAGTGTACCCGTGTCGTGCAATGCCTTTGGAGGACAGAAGAGGCCATCAGATCCCTTGGAACTGGAGTTACTGACAGTTGTTAGCTGCCATGTGGGTGCTGGGATTCAAACTTGGGTCTTCTGCAAGAACAACCAGTGTTCTTAACAACTGAACCATCTCTCCAGCCCCTACTGTGCCCAGCTTTATGTGGGTTCTAGGGATTTGAACTCAGGTCCTCATGTTTGCTTTGAAGTACTTGTCTTCTTTAGTTTCATTCAGCTGTTCAGATAGAGATATTCTGTTAAATAGAAAGTTTTTTTTAATTTTTATTTTTTTGGTTTTTTTGAGACAGGGTCTCCCTGTAGCTCCAGCTGTCCTGGAACTCACTATGTAGACCAGGCTGGTCTTGAACTCACAGAGATCCACCTGCCTCTGCCTCCTGAGTGCTGGGATTAAAGGTGTGTGCCACGATGCCTGGCGATTTTTTTTTTTTTTTTTTTTTTGTCTTTTTGAGACAGGGTCTCTCTGTAGCCCTACCTGGCCTGGAACTCCCTATGTAGACCAGGCTGGCCTCGAACCCACAGAGATCCACTTGCCACTGCCTTCTGAGTGCAGGGACTAAAGGTGTGTGCCACCATGCACTATGTTTAATGGAATAAGCGGAGTAGAACAGTGATGTGGAAGAAAAGGAAATAATTATGATGATGGAATATTGCACCCATAGCTAGGCAAGAAGTGAACAATAAGGCTGAAGGACAATAGAGAAAGTTGCAGGATCTATTGGAGCCCATAGATTTCTAGAAGTAAACTGGAAAGATAGGAAGTGAAGAGAGGTAGTTGTTTGAAATTTCACTTTTGAGGTGATACAGTTATTGGTTATTAGCTTGATCAGAGGGCTAAGGGAATGGAATGGATAGAAGAGGAACTTCGAGTAGGAGTTTTTACCTAACATAGATATCATTACATTGAGCAAGTACAGGTGAGGTTTTTGCTATGAAATACTCACTTATATTCCATTTATGCAGACCATTCTGCTTCCTGTTGTATTTTGTTTGAATGTTACCTCAGATTGCAAATTGTTCCTGATCTATAATGAAGATACTTGTAAGAAGTAAATGAACAAAAGAAATTTACTTAATATTCAGCCTGGTCCTTGTTGGAGACCTACAACTTGATAAATTGAAACTTTAACGTGTAGACTGATGATTCTATTGCCCGTTAAGATATTTTAATCAGCCAGGTGTGGTGGCACATGCAAAGGCAGAAGCAGGCGGATCTCTGTGAGTTCAAGGCCAGCCTAGTCTACATGGAGAGTTCCAGGTCAGCTGAGGCAACAGGGAGACCCTGTCTCAAAAAGAACTCCCTCCCCCCCAAATTTTAATCTTTGTATGTTCATCGAGGGCTTTGTAATGTGTATACTTATCTGTAATACATTGCTTTGCTGATTGTAGTTTGTTCTTTGTGTTTTTATAGGACCGCAGCTGAATGCCCAACTAGAAGGTTGGCTTTCACAAGTACAATCTACAAAAAGACCTGCTAGAGCCATTATTGCACCGTAAGTTTTAGAAGTTTGTTGTTAAAATCTTTCATATCTTTATTATTAATAAAAATGAGTATACATTGAGCTAAAGGTTAAAAGCAAAATGCTGGGCTGGAGGGATGGCTCATTGGTTAAGAGCATTTACTCTTGTTGCAGAGGATCTGAATTCAGATCCTAGCACTTAGGTCAGGCAGCTTACAACTGTCTGAAACTCCAGCTCTAGAGGATCTGACACCCTCTTTTGGCTTCTATAGATACCTGCACATATACACACACTTGTAATTAAAAAATAAATCTTTTAAAAAAACCCCAACATTGAGCTGAAGAAATGATATCTAATATTCACAATTCCTGTGGTTTTTACTTAAATTCTAAGAGTTGGAATTTTAGTTCCTCAAATGTGTAGTAATTTTAAAATGTATTTTTGGCAACAAGATTGACTTTTGAAGCAGAGGATGTTTACATTACATAAACTTTATGATTTTAGTAGTAATTGCTATAAATGAATAAGTTTAAAGGTTAGAAATCTCAACTGTAATCCCGATTTAAAAACAGTTTTTCGTCTGCTGAGGATCAAACCTGGGGCCTTGCTTGTTCATGCTAGGCAAGTGCTGTACTACTGAGTTCTGTTACCTGCATCCTTAGGTAATTTTTAACTTATAGTGGAAAAATGTAATAAGCATGGTATGGTACAACCTGGAGTAGCATCCAGATTATTTGGGAGGGGCAACACATTTTCTTTTTTGAGAAAAGTCTGTGATTATTTTTGTCTTTGAATGTTAGATAACTTGCTTTTTAGAATTACAAGTTTGCACACTTAGTGATTTGTGTGTCTATATGAATTCAGTTGATTTTAATTTGGTTTCAGTGCTAATTTTAAAAACATGGTTTGGGGGCTAGAGAGATGGCTCAGAGGTTAAGAGCACTGACTGCTCCTGCTGAGGACCTGGGTTCTGACCTCCGCGGCATTGCACAGCACGGGTGCACTCACATACATGCAGGCAATACGCTCATACACATAAAATAAAATAAAAAACAAAACAAAGCAAAACCCAAAAACATGGTTTGAGGCATGTGTTTTCATTTTTCTGAAGATTAAAAGCACATAATTTCTTCCACAGCATCTTTTATATGGTTCCACTGAGTTAAAATTTAATGTCCTGATAATAATAAAACTGATGATAATAGCAAATACTTATTAAACAATGGGAGAGTTAAATGAATAATTATGCGTAAAGAACCTAGATTAGAAGGTGGGGAGATGCCTCACTTAGTAAAGTACTTACCACACAAGCATGAGGACTTGAGTTAGGATCCTTAGCAGGCATATAGAATGCTGGACACAATAGTGTGCTTCTCAAATCCCAGCACTGGAGGGGCAGATAGAGACAGGTGGATCTCTGGAGCTCTCTGTAGCCAGCCTAGTTGCATTAATGAGATCCAGATTCAGTGAGAGATTCTGTCTCAAAATAAAGTGGAGGGACTGGAGAGATGGTTTTAGCAGTTAAGAGCAATTACTGCTTTTGCAGAGGTCCCAGGTTCAGGTTCCCAGCAACTGTGTGGCAACTTACTACTGCCATACCTCTGTAACTCCAGTGCCAAGAAATCTGATGCTGTCTTTTAGCCTCTGCTGGCACCTGTATGTACATGGTGCACATATATACATAAAGGCACACACATATACATATAAAATGAAAAAAAAGTAAGGTGGTGAGTGATCGAGATGTGTGTGTATATAACAGAGAGAGAGAGAGAAGCTAGATTAAAGTTTCACACATAAGCATTCTATTAATGTTAAGTACTTTATGTGCTGAATATTTTGTAAAATATTACATTTATAACTTAATCTCATTTAATAGATGCAGGAAGCAAGTTTTACCACTTACTAGCTGTATAGCATGTAAGTTTATTTAGCTCTTGATCTTACTTCCTCATTAGTAGACACAGAATACTAATAATAGTACCTCCTTGTGGTTTTTTGTTTTTTTGGAGACAGCCTATTTGTAACCCCAGCTGGCCTGGATCTTTGCCACCATGTCTGACTTTTTAATTTAATTTAATTTTTAAAAATGTGGTCACTGGAGGGGCTGGAGAGATGGCTCAGCAGTTAAGAGCACTGACTGCTTTTGCAGAGGTCCCAGGTTCGATTCTCAGCACCCACATAGCAGCTATGAACTGTCCTTAACTTGAGTTCCAGGGGAATCCGAAGCCCTCTTCTGATCTCTGTGGGATTGCACGACTTGGGTGCACTCACATACATGCAGACAATACACTCGTACACATAAAATTTAAAAAAAGTGTGGTCTCTGTAGATCAAACCCATGGCCTTCATCCATTTTAAATATGCACTGTACCACTGAGGCACCCTTTTGAGTATTCTGGGTATGTCCTAAGAGTTGAATCACCAAGATAGAAGAGTCTGGATGACCTATGAAACAGGAAGAATGAAATTTCCTGTATATTGATAAGGGAGGGCAAGACAGATAAGAAGTAATAGTGGTTTTTGAAATGTTTATTATAGAACCTAGGAGAGGTTTTGATCTTGTTAATGTTAAGGTGACCATTAGATGTTGTATTAGGCTTCTCTAGAAGAACAGAACTAATAGAATGAATATATTTTAAAAGGGAATATATTAGATTGGTTTACGTGATAACAATCCGGTAGCCCAAAAATAGCTGTCTCACACTGGAGAGACTGAGAATCTAGCTGTTACTTAGTCAACAAGGCTTGATGTTGCTGCAGTCCCAACCTAGTACTAAAGGCCTGGAAGATTCCTGGAGGTCTTCAATGCACATTGGAAGCCTGAAGAAATTGGTTCTAATTATCAGTGAAGGAATGGAGCAGTAGCAGTATAGATGAACTTGCCAGGAAGAGTGGAGGCAAGCAAGCAGAAAACCAAAAGTTTCCTTCTTCCATGTCCTTTTATCTTAACTGCCATCAGAAGGTGCCACCCCCATTTAGGGTGGTTCTTCTTAACTTCAAATCAAGAGTCATTCACAAACCTAATGGCTTGTGTTTTAGTTATTTTCAGATCCAGTCAAGTTGACAGCCAAAATTAGCCATCACAGATATCAAGATATATATGTGTGTGTGTGTGTGTGTGTGTGTGTGTATGTATGTGTATGTGTACACCATATGCATGCTTGGTGCCCATGGAAGCTAGAAATGAGCATTGGATCCCCTGGAACTGGAGTTAACAGATGGATGTTAGCCACAGTGTAGATACTGGAACTGAACTTGCTGCATGTACTAGTTTGGCCTTGAACTCGTTGAGATCCACCTACTTCTGCCTCCTGAGTGTTGTGATTAAAGGTGTGTACCATATGCTCTCCTCTGTCCCAACTTTTAAATTTTAGTTAAATTATTATTTTAGTTTTATGTGTATGAGTGTTTTACCTGCATGTGTATAAGTGCATCTGTGTGTACAATACCTGCAGAGGCCAGAAGAGGGCATTGGATCCCCTGGAACTGGAGTTATGGATGACTGTTAGCTGCTATGTGGGTGTTGGGAACCAAACCTGGGTCTTCTACAAGAGTAACAAGTGCTCTTAACTGCCGAACCATGTCTCCAGCCCCAGGTTTTTTTTGAGACAGGGTCTCACTGTGTAGTTCTGACTGGCCAGGAACCCACTGTGTAGACCATGGTGGCCTTGAACTCTCAGAGATGTGCCTCCTTCTGCCTTCTGAATGTTGGGATTAAGGACCTGTGGTCCTTTTTTTTTTTGCCTGATTTTAAAATTTAAAATTTTTATTTCTTTTTATTTCACGTATGGAGTTTTTTGCCTCTATATATGTAAGTGCACCTGTGTTGTGCAGTGCCCTTAGAGGCCACAAGAGGGTCTTGATCCCCAGGAACTTGTGGCTGCTGGGAACTGAACCCAGGTCACTGTAGTTCAGGCTGGCCTGAACTCATTATGTAACCCATGCTAGCCTCAAACTTGGGGCAGTTCTCTTACTTATTGTCCTCACTACTGCAACTAAAGACATGAAGCTACTATGGTTGACCCTTGTGTTTCTTATTTTTTTTATCATCTATTCTCTCTATCCATTTTTCTTACTGGCTTTTGAATCTTAGTGACTGACCCTTCAGAAGTCTTTTTAATGTTCTTCAGCCGCCTTGTTTTATTTTTTGTTTTATTTTTCGACAGATCTGCCTGGTCTTGAACTTGCAGAGATCCACTTGACTCTGCCTCTGGAGTGCTGAGATTAAAGGCGGTGCCATCACACCTTGCTCCTTAGCCTTTTTGATTGCATATTGAGTGTCCTCCTAGCTGCCAAAGGCTTTCTGCTCATGCTCTTTTGTTGCCAGCTTTCTTCTCACCCTCTCCCACTGTATTTTCTGTTCTTGTCTCTTTCCTTCCAAATTGTCCCTAGGTCATGTCTTCCACTCTCACAGTTAACAGGATCTCCTGTTAGCCCCAGCTGGCCTGGAACTCACTATTTAGACCAGGGTGGCCTTGAACTCGCAGAGATCTGCCTGCCTCTGCCTCCCGAGTGCTGGGATTAAAGGCATGCGCCACCACGCCCTGTTTAGGAGAATTAATTCAGTGAAAATGACTGAACTGAGGCTGGGCGTGGTGGCTCAGGCAGAGGCAGGCAGATTTCTGAGAGTCTGAGGCCAGCCTGTTCTACATATGTCTACATAGTGAGTTCTAGGCCAGCTGAGGCTACAGGAGACCCTGTCTTAAAAAACAAAACAAAACAAAAAAACCTCCTAAAGATACTCTTTCCAACCCTTACTTCTTTCCCAATATCAAGCCAGTGAAGCCAGTGCTTCTAGTTGTCCATTCTATTTTTTCAGTGTCCAGAAAACATCTTCATTAAAACATGCCTAAAATGAAAACTCAGCCATTCACCACCCCCCACCACCACCCAGAACTCCTTCTCCTTATTTACTATTTCTGTTAACATTACCACACTTTTCTGAATTGCTGAGAGTAAAACTTCCTATTATAGGGTAGTTGCTAGGTGCCACAATACCTTGATGGACATTAAAATTTCTGTGTCGAATCAC